TCTCTCTTCCTCCTTCACCGTGCCATATCCATTTTGTATAATTTAGATTAATTCCATCACAAATTAGATGATCATATATGTCCTTGTCACTTAATAGTTTTAGATTACAACACTTCTTACAAGGACACCAAAACGTTGCATCATTATTTGGAAGATGACATTTTGCAAACTCTATAAATTCTCTAACTCCGACCTCATATTCCGTACTCAACCGAGAAGCTTTCATCCAACTTTTATCCATCACAAGTCAATCTAGGATAATATTAATTCCAATTAGACTAGTTATTAGTAGTATCAAATTCAAAGATAGCATATAAATATTTTTAAAAATTAAAAAAAAAAAAGAATGACAAATTACATCAAATATATCTGTAAAATTTACAAATTTATCAATAAAGCTAGCTTTTGGAAATTAAAGTAACATTAATAATTATAATCATAGAGGTTGAATCTCTTCAACATTGCACCCCAATGTACCCATAGTAGTTACACTATCATATCACAAGTCAATTTGTTTTCTCCAATAACATCAATAGTACTAGTTATCAAGCTCCTTTCTGGGAAGGTAAAGAGTTGGACTTCTTTTTCGTTTTTGTGGATCGTTGTGCTTCAAGATAATACAGTATATTTTTTTTGATAATTGGCATTTAAGATAATAGATTTGCTTGGGTAAGGATTTGAACCTTTTATGAATTATTGGGACGAAAATTTGAGCTCAAACCTGACTAGTTGTTAGTATGCAGATTCCCCCATCTTGTTTTGTTTTTTGCAGTTTTATCTAGGGATCTTATGAATGAACAATCACTTGGATAGTGTGCAGTGATTATGGAAAATAATTTTGTGCTATACTCGATAACAATGATAGTATGTTAGTTGTTTTACTTTAGAAAGGAATTGGGAGAGTTTAGATGAGAGAACAAAGGAGGCTTAGGGATAATCAACCATTCAACCCAATCATCTGACATAGAAATGAATTTGGAAAATTTTAGGAAGCCATTCTAGGACACACGCAAATGATGAAGTCCAAAAAGAAACAAAATTTAGGAAAAAAGAGTGATTTGCGCTTTGTTGATTACTACTATAGATCTACTTTAGTTCAGTACAGAAAAACCGAAGAGAATGACGGCGTGCACTGTGTGCCTGATACCAACACAGAAACTTACAATACTAGACCTATACTAATGCCTCAGTTATTCAATAACAAATATAACACAAATAAACCCTAAAATGCATATACATTTACAAAAATTCGAAATAAATCAATAATAAATACAAATATAATAAAAATAAATCCTAAATTATAATTATATTTATTAAAATTCGAATAAATTAATAATAATTAAAAAAAAAATACCTGCCGATGTGCGGATCGGAGAAGCTGTCGCGGACGGTGGCGGAAGCAGTTGGAGCCGGCGATGTGCGGAGAAGCTGTCGCGGACGGTGGTGGAAGCAGTCGGAGGAGAAGAAAGCAGGCGGTGGGAGGACGTCGGCGATGTGGACTGTGGCGGCGGGGAAGGACTGTCGCGGCGGCGTCGACGTATGAGGGTGGACGACGTCAGCGTGAAGGTCGGCGGCGAGAAGCGGTGGGTGGAGGACGGTGGCGGTCTGAGACGGTGAGGCCTGCGGTGGGAAGAAGTGCGGTGGGGTGGGGAGGAGATGGATGGAAGAGAGCGGTCGTGGTATGGCGTCAATCGATCTGGGTAGACGGTCTCAGATCTGATGTTATAAAAAACTTTATAACGTCGGCTAAATTAAGTAGCCGACGTTATAAAGTAAAAAAAAAATTAAAAATTAAAAACAATACGACGTCGGCTAGATAGTTAGCCGACGTCGTATCATATTTATTTATTTTTATTATTATTATTTTTAATATATAACGTCGGCTAAACTGAGTTAGCCGACGTTATATATAAATTATTTAAAAAAAAAAAAAATATATATATATATATATATATATATATATATATATAACCTACGACGACGGCTGTATTAATAGCCGACGTCGTAGGTTATATATTTCTTTTGTATTATTATTTTTTATTTATAACGTCGGCTATGTTATAAACTTAATAATTAAAAAAAAAATTAAATGTTTTTAACGTCGGCTATGTATATAGCCGACGTTAAAGAGCCGACGTTGTATGTGAATTCTGTAGTAGTGCCTCATGCTATTTTCATTCCATCTATTCATTTACATTGTAACTATAGCTGTTAAAACGGACCAACCCAACAAGTTAGGTCAGTTTAACACAGTTTTTAGGCGGGTTGGGTTGGAGATTTCTCCAACTCGGCCCATTTTAGCTCATGGGGTATCCGAGTTATACGGGTTGACCCATGTAACCCACGGACCAACTCGTATGATCCGCGACCCCACCCCCACCCCACCCCAAGTTTTTCTTGTTTTAAAATAATTTTTAGTTTTAATATGCTTAGTATTAGAATTTTAAAATATTATTGTTCCGAACAAGAATCAATTCAAACTTATAACATCTCAATTAATAACAACATAATAAGACCAACTATTCATTTCCAAGAAACTAGAAATCTTAAAGTTTGAGAAAAATTGAATTATGTTTTGATTAGTTCATGATTTTTTTTTTTTTTCAAAGGAACTTGAATTCCTCAAATATGAGAAAAATAATTTCTTTGGTCATCTTAGATATCTTTTTCTTTCTATGGCATTTGGAACATATTTCAACTAAGTTTGGCCAAACCTGGGAATGCGGTTGATTCGAAGGGATTCATCCATCCTTAACCAAAGGTCAATAGTTCGATTCTTGATTATGGGTATACAGTAATCTTAAATCTCGATCAACGACGATCTAGTCACTTTGACCAAAGTAAACTACCCTTATATGACACATGGTGAATGAAAGGCAACGATACTATACCGTTGGTCTAGGTAGTGTCTATGGATGGCAACGGTAGTTACGGTACTACTCAACAAGTCCACTGAACTTGTTAGGCAACTCGTGACATAATAAGATGAATTTTAATGAGTATAATATAAAAATATTGTAATTTATAAATTACTATTACTTTTATTACCATTATTATTATTACGGTCAACTAAAATTTGTACGGTTAAAATGGCTGTTGTTTTCATTTCATTCCATTTTCCTCCACTACCAAACCGCTTGTTTATTCCAAGTTGAAATGCATTCATATACAAGCAAATCTCTCTTCGCATTCCATTATATTTTGCATATAGTCCAAGGTTAAATCACAAGAATATTAATATAATTTTAGCTATTATATTGATGCAGTACGAAGAAAAAGTGGTTTTAATTAATATTCATGAAGTCTCAAGTGGTAAGCGCCCAAAAAATCAGTAAACTGTCAATGCTATGGAAGTACTAAAGTTTCCACAAAACACAACGGAGAAGTCCACTCAGCGGCACATACAAATAGCGTAGCACGTAGGGAGTAGCACATAGTGAATATTTTATTCAACTATTTCAATTCTTCAATTGTGGCGGCGATTAAGTTGTGGAATAATATTAAGAATTTATTCGATTTTGAATTTTGATACATCAATTATATTATTTAATTATGGAGTAATGTATAATTGAGTTTTTTTTTTTTTTTTTTTTTTTAGTATAAAGGTAGAGTTTAAAATTGACCAAATATAATACGGAGTATATAATTTTTTCTATTGATAATTTTAGAAGTGTATTCGAACTTTTAGATGGAGTTTAAAAATCATGGGATATTTCGTTTATATTTGCGATAGTACTCGATTCATATTTGCGAAGAGTTTTTAAAAGCCACGTTCTTAATACTCTTTCATATGAAAATTTTTCTGTAGACCACTTTTTCTTAAATATAAGTAGTTAAAATATATTGAAATTCATATTCAAAAGCCCATAATCCCATACGAACTGCTAAATTTACATACTTCTCTCTATTGGCTATTTTCTTTTTGTCTATCAACTTTGTCTCTTTGTCTAAACTTTACAAACGTACCCTATGGTCTTTTTCTTCATGCCAAAACTCTATAAATTTTAATTCTATAAACTTGTTTTCCTTACGTAAATTCTACGGATTATTTTTTTTTTCTCATTATTATTTTAAACTTCCGAGCAAATACAAATAGGGCGGGGGAAAACCCTTTCTCTCATGTTAGCCTAAAAATAGATTTGATTTTTTAATACTGTATATTGCAATTTTTTAATAATATTATATGACTTTGTGAAAGTGATGTATTGTCTAAATTTATAATACACTGTTTTTGTGACAGCCAAATTTTGATTTTTTTTCTTTAAAATACCAATTGCAACACAAATTTATTAAAATCTATAAAAATATATCACAAAAGTTTTTTTTTTTTAAAATAAAATTATAATATAAATAATAAATATTAATTTAAGTCAATAAATATTGTAAGGCTCTATTCAATTTAGCATTTTAATGATTTCACTTTTTAAAATAAAAAAGGTCTATAAAAGTCACTAGCTATAAGTTTATAAATGTTTGTGATATACTCGCATGGGCAGCTCAACTAGTCATAGAGGTGAAACTTTGGAACAATGATCAGGGATCGAGTCTCACCAGCGGTAGTGTGGGAGCTACCTCTCAAAGTGAGGGGGGTTACGTTCCTTGTGCGTAGTGAGCAAATGTCTAGTCTCTGTGGTTCATGTTAAGTTGAGTTACCATGATTTACATCCTCCCAAATGCTATGTTGGGTGGGAGTGTGGGGGGCCCTTAGGGTTGGGGTTCAACCTTTGGAAGAATAACCATGATTTACATCCTCCCAAATGTTCTGTCGGGCCATAGTGTGGGAGGCCCTTAGGGTTGGGGTTCAACCTTTGGAAGAATAAATGTTTGTGATATAAGACTTTATAAACTGCTACAAGATTTACAATAAACTGATTCTATTAGGACTCTATCTATGTATTTGAGTCTAATTATGATTCTCAATCCTACTCTTGCTATTAATCACTGTTAATACAATTCATTACATTTCTCATCTGGTATCAGCTAGCTAGGGTTTCTATCCAATGGTCGACGGATCTGTCAATTCATCTGAACGAACCGTTTCTGATGCCCCTCTCTCATCGATTACTTCAACCGTAACCACCTTCTCCACGGCTCATCACTTCATCATCGTCAAATTGACTCATCGGAACTTCTTATTTTGGAGGGCTCAAGTTGTTCTTTTTCTCAACAGACATGATCTAATGGGTTTCATCGACGGAACCAATCCTTGCCCGCCGGTCACGATCTCGTCCGTCGAAGAGGGAGTGCTTCCTCTGCCGAATCCTGCTTATCATCCATGGGTTCGTCAGGATCACACACTTTTCTCTATGCTCATGTCATCGATGTCTGATGAAGTTATGTCCTTGGCTATCGGACATCACACTAGCCGTGCACTGTGGACTGCCTTTACCTCTGCACTTGCCTCTACGTTTCGGTCTCGCTCGTCGAACCTTTTCGGGCAACTTCAGACGTTGAAACAAGGTGCTGCTTCCGTCACTGATTATATCGGCCGGGCACAGGTTCTCATAGAGGATCTAACTCTCGCCGGTCGGCACCTTTCGCCTGAAGATCAAAACCTTTACGTATTTCGAGGTTTGCGGCCTGAATTTTGGGTTCTTGTATCTTCTCTCAATGTCCGAGGAACACTGGTGACCCTTCATGAACTCTCGGACCTCCTCAGTACCGAGGAGTTCATTGTCGGCAGTGGAGGACCGTCGCCGGCAGCTTTATCCGTCCAGACAACCGGGCAGTAGCAGCGCGACAGAGGTGGCCAGTCGCGCAGTGGCGGACGTGGCTCCGGGCCGTCCAGCTGGCAATCCGGGCAGTCTCGTAGCAGTAGTGGCGGCCTTCGCGGGAATGGCGGTGGTCGTGGTCGTGGTGCTAGGAACGACAATCGCCAACAGAAGTGTCAAATTTGTGGAAACTTCGGGCACACGGCACATACGTGTTACAAACGGTATGAAAAGGAACCACAGGCTAATATGGCTTATCAGGGAGCTCCTTCAGATTCTTCACCGCACTCTCATACTTGGTTCCCAAACACGGGTGCAACGAATCATGCGACTCTGGATATAACGACACTCTCTATCTCGGACAAATATAATGGTAATGACACACTCCGTGTCGGTGATGGTATAGGTTTGCCTATTAGTCATATTGGTCATGCATCTTTTCATACCCCCTCTAGGTCGTTTCATTTGTCTAATATACTTCATGTTCCCACTTTATCTACCTCTTTATTATCGGTTCAAAAATTTGCAGCTAATAATAAAGTATTCTTTGAGTTTCACCTATCCTTTTTTGTCGTGAAGGACATCAACACCAAGGAGATTCTTCTTCGGGGCAATAGTTCTGGTGAGTTATACACACTACCAGTTCCTAGTTCATCACCTTTCGCGTTTCTTTCAGCTTGTGCATCTCCTTCTGTCTGGCATGATCGTTTGGGCCATCCACACTATCGTGTCTTTAGTCGTGTTCTTCCCTTTTGTTTGGTTAGTGTGTCTAATAGTGTTATTCGTTGTAGTTCTAGTCTATGTAATGCGTGTCAAATGGGTAAATCTGCTCTTTTTCCATTACCACATATTGATACTTCTAGTTCCAACATTTTTGATTTAGTCTATACTGATATTTGGGGTCCATCGCCTCTCTTATCTTCTGATGGTTATATATACTTTGTTCTTCTTTGTTGATGATTTCTCTAGGTTTACTTGGTATTTTCCCATGAAACAGAAATCTGATCTCTATGATATCTTTGAGAAATTTCATGTTCTTGTTGAAAGACTCTTTAATCGTAAAATCAAATCTATCCAATCTGATTGAGGTGCCGAGTACAAAAAGTTGCATTCCTCTCTCACAAAATTAGGGATCTATCATAGACAGTCCTGTGCCTATACTCACGAACAAAATGGCCGTGTAGAGCGAAAACATAGACATATTGTCGAAACCGGTCTCACTCTCATGGCTCGTGCATTTGTTCCATCTAGGTTTTGAGATTTTGCATTTGAAACTACGGTTTGTTTAATTAACAGAATGCCATATGCTATTTTAAATAACTCTAGTCCTCATTCTCTATTGCCTAAATCTTCTCCTTCACATTCTTTTCTTCGTGTCTTTGGTTGTCTGTGTTATCGTCATCTTCGTCCCTATAATCATCACAAAATATCCTATAGGTCCTCTCCATGTGTCTTTCTTGGTTATCCTGAGTCTTTTAGGTGGTATAGATGTATGGACTTACAGACTAATATGGTGTTCGTGTGCAGGCATGTCATATTTGATGAAGTTGTTTTTCCATTTGCTACTAAAATTTCTGTGTAGAAAATTTCAGATTCCCATGATAAGCCGTGGGTTGCATCTATTCTTCATCCCGTGGTGACCACTCACGCTACTCATACTCAGTCCGAACCAGCACAGCCAACTGCACCGGTTCGGACCGAACAAGCGTTGCCGGCAGCGCCTGAACAGACCAGCACTGCACTGCCAGCAGCGCCTATTGAAGTCGAGACAGCGCAACAAGCTGTCTCGGTGGCTGCTCGTCCGCACGGGCGCCCACGAGGCCGGTCGACTTGGCCGAATGTCCGCACCCATGACATGGAAACACGAAGCCGATCTCGCGCACCTCCTATGGTTTTGACAGCTCAGGTTTGCACCACCGATCGCACTTGTTACACACAGGCTGTCAAACACTTGGAATGACGCCAGGCCATGGATGAGGAATTTAATGCTTTATTGTAGAAACAGACGTGGTGTCTGGTTCCGTCTAAACCTGATCAAAATGTGATTGGATGTAAATGGGTTTTTCAAACCAAGAGAAAAGCGGATGGTTCAATTGAGAGATAGAAAGCCAGGTTGGTAGCAAAGGGGTTTAATCAAGTTCCTGGTCAAAACTTTTTTGACACGTTCAGTCCAGTTGTAAAAACAACCACAGTCAGGTTGCTTCTTTCTTTAGCTATATCTTCTGGTTGGACTATGAGACAACTAGATGTTCATAATGCTTTTCTTAATGGTAATTTGACTGAAACCGTTTACATGCGGCAACCACATGGATATATTGATGTTCAATTTCCTAATCATGTCTGCTTGTTGAAGAGATCATTGTATGGGTTGAAACAGGCCCCAAGAGCTTGGTTTAACCGTCTTCATAAATTTTTATTATTTGTTGGATTCCAGGTATCGAAAACAGATGTGTCACTATTTTATTACTCCCAGAATTCTACTTATGTTTATCTTCTTGTCCATGTTGATGACATTCTGGTGATGGACAGTGATCCAGATCTTGTGAGTTATTTATTGTCAAAATTATCTACTACTTCCAAGATTAGGGATCTTGGTGAACCAGGTTTCTTTCTTGGCATTGAAACCATTAAATGTAGTCATGGAATTCTTTTATCTCAACAACGGTATATGCTGGATGTTTTGAAACGTACTGGTATGACTGATTACAAACCTCTATTGTAACAACCCAAAATTTCATTTTATAAATCCGGTATTAAGAAATTTCAAAACAGCCATTTTCACTCCACTAAAATTTTTTGAGAAAAATTGGTGTTTGAATAAATTATTTTCGTCACATTTCGACACCAAAATGGATTTTATTCGAAAATTCCTAAGTTTTCGGGTGCTTCGCGTACCAAGATTTAAATCGAGAAATTTATCTGAGTGAGATCGGGAGAATTCAAAAAGATTTTAAACAAGTGTTCACCCAAATAGCTTTTTGAGAAAATTCATTTTCAACCCCAAAGTATTTAAAGTTAGCATTTCTAGTCTATGATCCATGTTGCAAGGTGGACCAAAAAAGAGCATTTCCCTTGTCTGATCTATGCTACTAGAACTACCCCAAAAACTACAATTTTGCCCTCCACCAATCATGAGAGAATCTCCTAGGGTTTTGCACCCTATAAAACCACACATTTTCCTCATTGAATCCCTGATCTCATTCCCTTGCCTCTCCCAATCCTTGTCTGCTAGAAAGAAGAAGCCTACACAGTAAGTTCCACTCTTCACCATTCATCTCCTCTCTTCCTTTTGATGCCTTCTTTGTCTATAATCTTTGAGTTCTCTTAGGCTTAGTTTGTTGTTGTTGTTGGGGTGTTTAGGCGGTAAAGGAAGTGGTGGTGGAAGTCGAGTGGAGAGGAGGCTGAGATCCAAGCTAGAAGAAGAGGCTACAAGAGGTATAACCCCATGGATTCCTTATTGAAATTTTGGCTTTGTGAAGCCTTAGTATTGAGTATAAATTAGTATAAACTATGAGATTTTGTTGTGTTTATGCTTAGAAGTGATCTTGTAATTGTTTGTGAGTTGTTGAGATGGTTTTGGACTTGTTTGGTTGAGTTTTTGCAGATGATAAAACCATCTGGGCACAGTGTGCACCAGATCAGACTCACAGCCCTAGCCGTGGCCCATCAGGAGGGCCGCCGGCTAGAGCCGTAGATGCACGGGACTAGGGGCACGGCCCTAGAGGAGGACTGCCGCCTAGTCTCGGTGGAGTAGCGGGGTACATGGGGCGGACCATGAGGAGTCCTGCCCCAGGTCCCTGACTTTGATTCTGAGAAGAATCTGTGCAGTGGCCGGGCCCTTGTGGCTCAGCTACGTGTCATTTCGGACTGAGTGTTACGGGCCCTTGTGGCTCGGCTCTTCGGGACCGTCTCAACACACGTCTTGGCTTTGATTTTGTTAAATTCGGATTAAAAACGAGTATGTTATGAAGGAATTTGTGAAGAATTGCTACACAGAGTATATATTTGCTAAGTTACTGTGTATGAAGAATTATTTGACTATGTGCTCTGATGGTGTTTTTTTTTTTTTTTTCTTGTTTTTTTTTTAAGTAAGAAGCATGATCATTTGAGAATATGATTTATTATGAAAGCATGACTAGATTGAGATTTTTGAGCAATGAGTAATGAAGCATATTTTGTTGATAGAATGTATAGAACTTGTTATGTTGCAAATCGAGCATGACATTATAGTCTTAAGTGTTTCATGTTATTTTATACATGGTTAGAAGCATGTTATAGGGAATTTTGACATTTCACATGTGTCATATTTCAAAAGTGCATAAGGGGCCAACGTGAGCCCAAGAATACTTTCAAAATCCATAAGCATGTGGTATATCATTCTTTGGTGCATTGAGAAGTAGTAGAATTGTTACATGCATGAGAGATATATTTATGTATTATCAATATCGTTGAGGTTTTGGAGGATACCGTTTGGACTATGTCCTCTCGGGAGATATTTATGGATATTGCGGTCCCAGTATATGTAACACGGCGTATTCCCACGTTACGAGGTTGGAAAATTCCCACCAGGCTTGGAATCCTAGTTAGGGGGTGTGCACACTAATAGTTCGATACTTGATTCAACAGAGATAGAACCACAAGATTGGTTCCGTAGACGGTAGGAGATATTGGGTTGGATTTATGTCGTTCCCGATGGGGTAATTCACGCATCAGTGAAACCCTAAGCCGTCTACGAGTAATAGAAAGAAGTGAGTCAAAAGAGACTCAAGAAGAGAGTCAAAAGAGACTCAAGAAAGAGAGTCAAAAGAGACTCAAGAGAAATAAACAGAGTCAAAAGACACTCAAGAGAAAGAAAGAGAGTCGAGAGAGACTCAAGAAAGTAAGAAAGAGACCTCCACAGAAAATACTCTATTTCATAAAGAGTGTATGAGTATTTATATATATATATATATATATATATATATATATATATATATATATATATATATATATATATATATATATATATATATCATTGCACG